TAATCATTAGATATTAAAATATTATAATTTTTCTATAATATTTTATAGCCAATTTATACTTACGCTTTAAGGGATAAGGTAATTTTAATAGCTTAATTCTCATTTATGTATTGGATTATACTTTATTATATTTGATTTTTACTAAATAGTCTGAAAATTTAGAAAATTCTTTATACTAAAAATGTTATTTAACATCTTTTGTCTTTTATATAGTATTCAAATACCATTATATAAATAGTAAATTTTTTATATATTATTATAATACTATTATAAAAAAAATTATATATGTATAAATAAAAAGATTAATATTAATATAAATATTAAAATAAATCTATTTTATATAAAACTATTTTGAAGTATTAAATATGATGTTAAATTATAATTATAATGAATAATAAATTATCTTAATAAAAATATAATAGTAATTATTACAGATTAGCTAAAAATAACTAATAATAAAATTATTTATTCTATAATTAGTATTTTATATTTTCCTTTATTTAAAGGAATAAATAAAAAATCAGATTTTAAGAATTTTTTTTTGATTTTAATATTAAAAATTAAAATATTAAAAGGTTATAGATTTTGACGAATAATTATTAGCCAATCATTCAGATTTTACTAATATGAGATGGATGACAAATAATGATTTTAATATTCTTGTGTAATTTCCATATAGTAACTGATAAAAAAAAATAATCATTTGACTTATCTTTAAAAGAATATCACTTTTTTTTTTGAGGTGAAAACTATTTGGAACCCTTTTCTTATTACTGGGCCCTGAATTACGTCGTGCAGATGTTCAAATCGGTAATTTACCTTTGTTATTGTTTCTTGTTTGAGACAGTTGTTTTACCTTTTTGTGCAGGTGCAGGTGCAGATCGCAGATTATCATTTTTTTTTTGATGTTAAAACAAGATCCAAATAATATATATAATATTTATAGCCTCATGTGAGAGTCATCGGGTTATACTTTGCATAATGTTTAGCTTTAAATTGCATATATATACGTGATAAAATCGAATGCGGTAGTTTTTTAAATTCACAAAATATCGATTCTTAAGAATTTAAATTTTATTGAAAAAAATGTCGTGGAGAAATGATATCCGTGTCGTAGTTGGTTTAGGTAAGTAAGCATTTACAAATCGTGGAATAAAGCATAATATTCTTTACTTAATATATTATATACGCGAATTCCTTTACAGATTTTGGGACCACCTATTCGGTAAATTATCGCAATACTCTTTTGTAAAGAAATCACTTATATATTAAAAATTGAATTTTAAATAGGGGTTTACTTATTGTCATGTTTCTGACAAACAAAATATATGTACTAATGATATTTGGCCTGGAGAGATGGTGCTTTTTTTACCTATTTTATTTTATTTATAGTCTTTAGAAAGCTAATTGTTTTTATCCGATTTGAAAGGCTCAATTAAAAACCAATACCGTGTTACAATATGACGATAAATTGGAAAAAATCTCAGATTGGGGACTTCCCGCACTATCTAAACGTCCAAATCGAAAGAAGATAAATAAAAATGATAGTAAACCAGTAGAACTATTTAAATTACATTTGGGCAATTTACAAGACCATCTTAAACCTAAACTTACTGTCGAATATAAGAAAGCAATTACAGATTATCTTCGTGAAATTGGAAATGTAAGTAAAACAATCGGGAAATCGGGTTTTTAATTATATTTATGAATTCAAATTTTTTTTTTAAAAAAATTTAAAGCTGATCAAAGATACCGTGACGACTACTTGGTCTGGAATCGATTATTCGAAAAATGTTATGCTGGTCCTTACGGTTCCCGCCGAGTACTCTGATAAAGCAAAAGCGATAATGAGAGAATGTGCACTCAATGCTGGTTTACTTAGTGATAAGCTTTCAGAAAAATTACAATTTACTACGGAACGTAAGTAAAAAGAAAATAAAATAAAAAAAAAAATGATTATAAGTCAAAGCTGATTTCTTATTTATTCTTCATTTCATTAGCTGAAGCTGCAGCAATTTATTGCATGGATAGCAGCTTGAAAGAACACGATTTGGCCGTTAGCGGAAGTGCGTAAATGTCGTGATTTTACATTTTTGACATTAGTTAATTTTCATAATTTATTTTAGCTACTTTTATGATCGTTGATTGTGGAGGTGGAACTGTAGATTTAACAACACAAAAATTAGAAGACGAGAAACAATTAGGCGAAATTACGGAAAGAGCAGGAGATTATTGTGGGAGTACTTTTATCGATAAAGAGTTTGTCAAATACTTACGAGATAAACTTGGAAATAATGTCATAGATTTGTTAGAAGAGAAACATTATGGACAAATGCAATATATGATTCAAGAATTTTGTCGAAATGCTAAATTACCATTCACGGGTGATGATGTAAATTTTCATTACGAAATGGATCTTGAAGAAGTTTTACCCGATTTATTACAATATGTAAAAGACGACGTTAAAGAGGCTTTGGAAGAAGTAGAATGGATGATTAAACTTGATTATAAGGCAATAAAATCAATGTTTGATCCCATTGTTGAAAGAATTTTACGTATGATTCGTACACAACTCGATAATTCACGTGAAACATGCTCAGCAATTTTTTTGGTTGGAGGTTTTAGTCAATCAAAATATTTACAAAAAAGAATTAAGGAAGAATTTAATGAATGCGTTGAAAATATTTCGGTTCCTTCAAATCCAATCGCTGCTATTTCGCGTGGTGCGGCAATCTATGGGATCAGTCTTTATAATGCGGATAATTACAGTCCGGACGGAATGAAGTGTATCATAAGTTCTCGTGTATTGAAATTCACTTATGGCATCAAAACTGCATCAAAATGGAAAAAAGGTGATCCTAAAGAAAGAAGAACTTTTGACGGACATATACATCGTTTTAGTTGTGTTGCAAAACGCGGAACTAAAACTTTAGTTGATAAAGAAATCGTTATTGATCATCTTACTCCTCAATATCCATTCCAAACTGTTGGTATTTTTCAAATTTATTACACGAGAGAATACGAAGCAAAATTTTGTGATGAAAATGGAATGGAATTATTAGGAACACTTAAAATTGACCTTCCAGGTAGATATAACTTTGATTCTTATTATTTTTAAATTTAAATTTTAAGTTAACTATTAATTTATTTGAAAGATTTGCATCTTGGATGCAATAGACCTGTTGCTTTTGGATTAAAATTTGGTAGTATGGAAATTACAGCGACTGCAAGGAATGATACAAATGGTCAAAATTATCAAACTACTTTTGAAATCGATACTGAGAATTAAATTTTCTTTATCTAAATTTTTTAATAATTTTCTCTTAATAAATAAAATATTTAAATAAATAAAAAATCAATAAATTTACATTTATTTTGAATTCGATCTCATTTTTTTTTTGACAAAATTTAACAAACTTGAATTTTTTACATCCACAACTTTATCAGGTTCATTTTCTTCATTCCCTTCATTCCCTTTCTCATTTACTTGCTGTCCTTGCTCATTTTCTTCCTCATCTGTATTACTTTGATCAATTGGACGCGTAATAATCTTGGCAGGTGTAATTACTTTATAATTTGAATTTGAATCCAAATCCCTTCCTACCAAAGGAAAATAACAAAGATCCACACAGACTTTCTCGAGTTCGTCAGTTTCCCATCTCCCATTCATTAAATCTGGATTAACCAGAGTATTACTTTCAATAAATTTATTTTGTAGCTTCGGTTCCTGAACCAAAAAACGAAACCAAAATATTCTGCACACATCACGAATAAGTTGTTGTGCCAGTTTTTCCACTTCTTTCTTCCTTTCTATATCATTTATTTGACGATATTTATTAATCGTTTCATTCAAAACTTGGCTGAAAATATGAATGAAATTATGAGAGCTAATACTATTATCTTTTGGAGAAATAATATTGGAAAATCCGCGGTTACCAAGAATTCTGTAAATTTGTTGACGTATCTTTATTGTTGCAACGTTAGAAACTTCATCGGTTCCAACGCGAGTTTCTGAGAACTCTTTTATCAACAACAGTAATTCTTGTGCTTTTAAATCGATATCAGTTTCTAATGAATAATTGTCGCCTTTATATAATCCATATTTATTTGAAAAGTCGAAAATTTGTTCTAACACTTTACGTTGTAAAATTGCCTTAATAAATGGTTTGTTCAAGTTTTTTTCTGATATTAGGTTTTGACATTTATATTTTTTTATAAGAGTATTTACTTCTTCAATATTAATACTTATATTACCTTTCAAGTTTGTAACATAATGTTCCAATGTTCGCTGTAGATCTAATATATCTTGCTTAAGTTGAACTGAATGATTTTGATCATCGTTACCTAAACGCACATTTGTCGCAGCTCCAAGTGCTGATTGATATTTTGATGCCTCTTCTTTGAGCTCTCTGTTTTTTTTCACAAGATCACGAATATCACTTTCTTTTTCGTTCAATTGATCTTGTAAAGTTGCAATATCATTGGGTTGGTCATGTGTTTTTGTTTCAAGTGCTGATTGATATTTCGATATTTCATCTTTGAGCTTTTGATTAAGTTCACGAATATCATTTTCTTTTTCGCTCAATTGACTTTGTAAAGTCACGATGTCGTTTGTTTGATCATGAACTTGTGCTTCAAGTAATTTGTATTTCGATGCTGCTTCTTTGGCCTTTCCTTTGAGATTTTTATTTTTTTGCTCAAGTTCATGAATATCCGTTTCTTTTTCTCTCAATTGATCTCGTAAATTCGCGATCCTTTGATTATTTTCGGGTTGTTTCTGTAATTTTTGCTTTAAATCTTCAAAACATTGTTTAGCCTCTTGTTCTTTTTGCAATAAATCTTCGTAATCTTGTATAAGGTTGTCATATTTATTTTCTAACTTTTTATTTTTGTCATTAATTTCATTTAATTCTTGACTCATGGATTCAATATTTTCATTAAGAGTACGATTTTCACCTTCAAGTCTTTTTATTTCTTGCTGGTTCAGTTCCATAATAACTGTAGAAAAAGTGTCTTGAGACTGGACGCCTAAATCTTTTTGCTCATCAATGGATGATGTATCATCCAATTCTTTTCTTGATTGAGTAAATTCATCTTCCCCAGTAAAAATTACATCTTCCATTTCCATTTTATCAGACATATTGATAATTTTTTTTTTTTTAAAAAAAAAAAAATAATAATAAGCGTTATGCAAAATTTGTCATTAATTTATATGTTTTTTATGTGATACTTAAGTGATTTTCAATTATCACTTTATTTTTATTGGATTTCGGCATTTTTATATCATGTGATAAGTTTATAAATGAATTAAACAGTAGATAAAAGTTTTGTTAAATATCCAATTCGAATGTAGTTTCATATTTTTCACCAGTTTCGATATTAAAAGCGGTAGCGAGAATTTCAATCTCACCAAAACTTAAAGCAAATAATACCGCCCTTTCATCGCTAAATGTTATGGGTAAATCAATACACCAATTACCAAGTAATTTTACACCAGGTGAATCGCAAAACTTTGCATCATTTTTATCGGTATAATACATATCTAAACCCATTCTATCTTGTAACATATGCCCTGGACTAAATATTCTATTTACCACAGAATCAACAGAAATTTCGGTCCCACGTTTTGCCAATTGTGAAAATTCGATAATTTTTCCACCCTGAAGTTTTCGACTTGGCGGGTCGCCTTTTCTCCAATTACGAGCGACATCAGTTCCTAGTATAAAAAAAAGGAAATGGCAAATTTTTATTTCATATATCAATAATATGAGATTTCTTAATTCCATTAAGATTAAACATTACCATATGTCCATTTCAAGACACGAGTGGAAACGATTGTTGGTTTCAGTCCATATTGAACGGCTAATTTATGAATCAAATCAAAGGAATCGATTACTTATAAATTATGACTTCAATTAAAATATAATTCATTGACTTACCCCCTTTAACAATTGCTGTCATTGGATGTGTAGGTACAGATATATTCTTCACTTTCTTATTGAATTCTTGTTTGATTCTTGCTTGTAAATATTTAGATTCACTGAAACCACCGACAAGCAACATAGTTGCACAGTTATTGTTTTCGTTTAGTTGGGCGCGAATCAAACGTATGATTTGTGCTACCACGGGATTAAACATTGATTTAACGTCTTCAAATTTCAATTCGACACACCATTCTGCTTCTTCCATCATATTGCGTTCTGAGCCTTTAACATATTGTTTAATAACTGGACATAATTCTTACAAATAAAATAATAAAAATAATTTGAGCATAAAAAATCATTTTTGACAAAATCTATCAAAAAAAAAAAGATACCTTCTAAATCCAAGTCATAAGGGGTAAAATCTTTTTGTTGTCCTGTAAATGGAATTTTAACTCGTCTACAAAATTCTTGTACCATGTATTGCAATTGACTATAATGGTTCTCTGTTAACATTTTAATGGCACTTTGACCAACTTTACGTCCAAGGAACTTAAGAAATTCCTCATCAACATAACTTCCACCACAAAATTCGCCTTTTCTTTCGGTGATTTCACTAAGTTGTTCTGCTTCCAAGAGTTTTCGAGTTGTCAAATCAACGGTACCACCGCCACAATCAACCACCATAAAAGTTGCTAGAAATAAAATCATTTATAAAATAAAATAATATTAATGAATTTTGATAATTTAGTTGATATTAATATGTGTATGTACCTACAGCCAACACCGACATCATGTTCTTTCAGGACCTTCATACAATGAATCGCGGCAGCTTCAGCTAATTTGGAATGTAATGAATAAGTCACGTGATAATCACGTTTCAAAGTAAGCGGACTACACACTCACGCTCAGTTGTAAATTTTAGATTCCGACTGTTCTTATCATCAATTAGACCAGCATTAAACGCACAATCGCGCATGGTTTCTATGGCTATGATATCGAATTCGGCCGGAATCTATGAATAAGTTTATCAAATCAGAATAAGCAGAATTGGGAACGTACCGAAACAATCAGATCTTAAAATACCGTCATAACAATCAAAACTTGACTATAAAATTCAAGCTTTGACCAACGAATTTTTAAAGTTTCTTTCAGAACTTTTCCCATTTCTCGAAGATAATCCGTGATAGCCTTTTTGAAATCCAGACCTTTCGGTAATTGCGGGGGTGATTTGTTATTTTCCATTTTACCTAGATGTAATTTAAATCTTTCCACGGGTTTAACTTTGCAGGATGTCCTTTTTCTACTTGGTCGTTCGGCTAATGCGGGAAATCCCCAATATTTTAGATTAAATGATTCGTCGTATTTTATCACTGTCGGAGTTTTAAAACGACCAGTAAAATCTTGCCAATCATCGTGCGCAATTATTTCTTTTGGATTCGATTTATGAGCATAAGCGAAGCCCTGTATGTTATTAATAATATTAATTGAAAGTGAACAATTTTTTTTTTTTTTTAAAGAAATCACATTACCGAGAATGTAGTTCCGAAATCTTAAAATTATAAAATAAAAAATGAGTTTTAATAAATGTTTCCTTAAATATTTAATAAATTAATTACACACCTATGGCGGCGAATACACGATAAGCGTCGTAAGACATTGTAGGTGCAATAGAGTGAAAAAAAAAAAATAATAGCAAAGTCCTTTTTTTTTTTTTTTTTTTTTTTTAAATGATATATTATCTATTTAAGGCCAAATTTTCTCGTGTTTTTTTTTTTTTTTACTACAAAAATAATTCATATAAATATTACACGTAACATCCATCCAAAACATCACTTAATTAATCTTAAAACAGGAAATGAAGAAAGGAAAAATGGACACCATTTACCCCTTAAACAAAAAAAACTTGATTTTTGTGTTACAGAAAGTGGGGTCTTTTGAACTTTTGGTTAATATACCCCAGAATTTGTTTCAAGTAATACATAATATTATGGACGATCACTGAGAGATTTGATTTTGTCTTTTCGCACTTAAAAAGATAATAATAGCAATGACAAATATATCCCAGTATCCTAGCGATGTTACAACCAACACAAATAATCATCATAATTCCACATTGCCTATGGATGTAGACATAGAAGGAACTACAAATTCACCCTCGCAAACGCCAGCATATTCAGAGGATCAAAATACTTCACAATCTTGTTCACCCCTTTTAAATGATCAGAGTGGAGAAGTTCCATGTATCCAAATGACGCAAAATAACTTGGGATATTCATCCAATCAACCACTTACGTCTTCAAACCTTGTAACAATTAATATTGGATTACAAGAGTTATACAAAAGTTATAAATTGATTGAAGAAGACAATAAAAAATTACAGGAGAGGTTAAAGGAATCCGAAGAAACTGTTAATGCGTATGTAAATGCTAGTATCGAAAAAGATGAAATTCTTAAAAATAAAACCGATGAACTTCTTGAAATTCAAAAGAAATTGTTTGAGCAAAGTTTCGAACATGATTTCAAATTAAAAAAACTTATTCCCTATAAATCAAGAGTTGAAGAAACATTGCGTATTGTTGATGAGTTAAAACAAGAGATTAAAGAACTTCGAGATGAAAAGAGTTCTGTTAGAAATAAATATTCGGAATTGAAACAAAGTTTCAACGATCAAAAAGTTACTTTACAACAATTGAAACAAAACAAGGAAAAACTTGAATCAAGATGTAATGAATTAGATCAACAATTAAAAGAAAAAAGATCTCAAATCCGAGTGTTAAAACAAAAGAATACCGAATTAGAAGATGAGGCATCAAGCTATCAATCTGCTCTTGGAGTTGCGACGAATTTTAAATTAAGTGACGATGATCAAAATCATACAGTTCAATATAACGAAGATATTTTAGCATTACATGATACTTTAGAAAATTATGTTACGAATTTGAAACCTAAAATAGACGTTAATGTGGAAGAAGCGAAGAAGCTTTTAATTGAGTATGGAAGTCAAGCCAAGATTTCTAGTAAAGACCCAAACAAGCCGCTTATTAAAGCTGTTTTACAGCGCCATGTACTTCGAGAAATTTTCAAATATGTGAATAAATATTTCACATGTTCAAGTAAAGACTATTACCTTGAATCAGACATCGTCACGAAATCTAATGAGTTAATTGAACTAATGGAACGATTTTGCGATACACGTGTTGGTGAGGATGAAGTAACTCGAGTTACGCCCATAAAATTACGTCAGCAAGTTTATGCTGCGCTTGGTACTCGAGGGTTTAGCGATATTAAAAAATCCGATGGAGATTCCGTGCATGACTATATACGTCATATCTCAAACAAAATCAATGAGATGATGAACGTTTATCGTGTCATTAAAGACGTGGATAAAAAAAAGTATGTGGATGCGTTAGCGGAAGATTTAATTCGAAATGTTTTTAGAATTTTTTATTTTCGTTCTAATATTCAAGAACCGAAAGCTTTATTTCACTGGTTTAATTATAATGAAAAAATCGATAAATCCTTCATGAAAGGCAGCTGGGGGGAGGATGAGGATGATTTGGTTGTTGAAGTTTGTTCTTTCCCGCTAATCTATTCAAATACAAATGGTTTAAAAATTTATACCCCTGCAAAGGTCTTACCAGTTCATGTTGTGAAACAAAGTTTTGCTGAAAAATTACAGAATGTAGGTCATAAAATCAAAAAAACCATCACCGGATCAAAATCAGCAGAAAATAATCAAGAAGATCAAGAAGAATCAAATGATAAAAATGATAAATCCGCCACGTCAATTTACTCGGATGAATCGGATTATTATTCTCCTACTGAAGCAACGAATGATCCAAACAGGACGGAACTTATTACTGACAATCCAGATAGCACTCAAGAAAATGAATATCAAACATCAAATGCTCAAGAGTATGTATGCGTATAATAATGTATTTTCATATCGGTATCACATGATTTATTTTAATGAAATTACATGGCACAAATCAATTTCATTGATTCATAATACTTGATTATCAAATTCTTTTTTGTCCAAAAAATATATTTATTCTTACATATATATATATATACTATTAAAAGAAAAGGAGAATAAAAAAATATTTTTATATATCTAAATCAAAAGTAGTTTCATAGATATCACCTATACCAGAATTAACACCAGTGGCTTGAATTTCAACGCTACCAATAATTAGCGTGAATAAAATAGAATGATCATCATTATGTAAGGAGAGAGGCAGCTCAATAGACCATTTTCCAAGTGGATTAACAAGTGGGTCATCGATATATTTCGCATCATCTGCTGGTGTAATATATACATCCAATCTCATTTTACGCTGTAATGCAGTACAGGGTAAATATGATCTGGTTACTTTCTCATCAACTGCTACTTGTGTGTCTCGTTTTGCTAGTCTGTCAAATGTAATAATTCTGCCACCAGGTAATTTTCTTTCTTATGGGTCACCTTTTATCCATTTACCTGTAATATCAGTTCCTATTAAGAAATTATAATGTTTAAAATTAAGATCTTAAATGAATGATAAAATATGTAAATATAATTAATATATTTATCATATGTCCATTTCAAAACACGCATGAAAATTACCTCTTCCCTCAAGCCATATTGTACAGTTAAATTTAGATATGGATTTAAAATTCAGTTTCAACAAAATTATTGATTACAAGTTTAATGTACTTCATTCCTATCTCCTTTAATTATAGCGGTAACTGGTTGGAAAGATATAGAAATGACTTGTACTTTTGTATTGAATTCTTGTTTGATTCTTGATTGCAAATATTTTGACTTGCTAAATCTACTGACCAATATTAATGTAGAACAATTATTGCCTGAACGTAATTGAACATTGACTAATCATATAATTCTTTCTATAACTGGATCAAACATTGCCTTAACGTCTTTAAAATTTAATTGAACATTCCAATCATCTTGTTCCATCCTATTCAAGTATTCTTCTTTACAGTATTTTTCTAAAATAGGGCAAAGTTCTAAAAGTATATTTTTTTAACAGTAAACAAAAAGATTGTTAACCTTAATAATAATAATAATAATAATAAAAATTAATATATTACTATCTAATTTCAAGTCGACAGCAGAAAATTCTAATTTAACTCTGGTAAACTTTATCTTAACTTATCTACAAAATTCTTGTACCATATACTAAAGTTGGTGATAATGTTTGTCTATTACCTAATTTATTGCAGAAATACCAATTCTACATCCTAAAAACTTGAGGAATTCTTAATCTACATAACTCTCACATAATAATCTCCAGTTCTCTCTATAATTTCACTTAATTTGTCATCATCTATGAGTTGTCAAGTTATTAAATCTACAGTTCTACTACCACAATCAATAACCATAAAGTTTGCTAATAAAGGTTCATTTTAAAAATTAAATCAAATTTACATTTACATTTTTTGATCAGTTTTATTATTACTTACCACCAGGTTGTAAATTATGCTGATTTAAGGATTTTATACAATGAACTGCAGCAGCTTTGTCTGTTTGAAGAATATTTTAATCAGTTGTCAAAACACCACATTTATCATATGATATATACTTACATTTTGTTATAAATACTAAATTTTGACTATTCACATTTCTTAATAGTTCTACTTCAAAAGCACATGTTCTAATAATCGCAATTGTACCATCATCAAATTCAGAAAAAATCTTTTTATTTATTTATTTATTTTATTTTTTTAAAAAAAACATTTAAAAAATAATCAAATTCATAAAAGTTTAATAAAAAAAAATTGATTTTATTTACTGTTAATATGAGTAAAATCTAAGTAAAAAAATTAAGTTTTCAATCACTTTTATAACTTTAGTCAATTCCTGAAGGTAATCAGTAATAGCTTTTTTATAATTAGTTTATGAGGTAAAAGAGGTTTGTTTTCCATTTTTCTTAAATGAAATTTAAACCTTTCTATGGGTTTAGAGGTAGCATTTCTATTTCTCCTGATTGGTTATTCTGCTAATATTGAGAATCCCTATACTTTAAGATTCTCAAATCCCTTATTATATAATAATACCATTAGAGTTTTAAACTGTCTAGCAAATTCTGGTCAATTTGTATATGCAAAAATTTCATCCAGAGTTTTTTATGTGCATATGTAAAACCCTTAAAATAAATACAAAGTATAAGATTAAGATATATGATTTACACTACCCTTGGATAAGTATCCGGTCAGCTAAAAAATTATTTATTTATTTAAAAATTTTGAATATAATTATACGATTTAATACTCAGTAGGCCATTCTTGATTCTTAATACATGTTTTAATTCTATGTGGTATGCTTTTTATAAGTTTGATATAAGTTTCAGTTAGAATTTTTTTCCACTCTTCTTGCAATATTTTTTTAAGTTCATGAAGATTTTTCAGATGTACAAAACGTTTAATGCACCTTCATTTAAGTTCATTCCATAAATTCTCAATTAGGTTAAGATCTGAAAATTTAGAAGGCCAATCAGAAAGCATCTTAACCCATTTTTAAATAATCCAATTTTTGATATTCTTTGCTTTATAAACTGGAGCATTGTCATCTTGAAATGCATAAGGCTGTTTGTGATATTTCAATCGAATAAATGGCAATAAATTTGTTTATTTTTCCCTCAATTTTTACCAATGGTCCTAATCCTTTTCCTGAAAAATATCCCTATACTATGATATCACCACCACTATGTTTGACTGTAGGAGTCAAATTTTCAATATCATATCAAGTACCATTTTTTCATCAAACACGATTAGGTTCATCCTTTCAAATAAGGTAAATCGTGATTTATCACTTCAAATCACACTTTTCCATTTTTGAATTGACTAATTTTGCCACTTCATATACCATTTTAATCGATTTTTGTGTTGAGATTCTGTAAGAAGTGGCTTTGACGCAGTAATTCATGAGTGAATTCCCATTTGATGAAAAGATTTCTGAATAGTATCTAATAAAACTTTCTTGTCTCTTGAATTCTGAAAATTGTGCTGAATTTCACTAAAAGAAGATCGATTATTCTTTTTTATAATTTCCTTTAATATGCAATTATCATTATTATTCATGAAAAGTAACTTTTCAGGTCTTTTAGCACTTAATCCATCATTAGAATTAGCATATCAGAAAATTGTATCTGTAATAGTGCTTTTAGAAATGTTTAAAATACGAGTAATAGCTTTATGAGTTCTTTTAACTTTATATAAACCAATTACTTTTCTGTATTCAAACTCATTTAATTCGTGATTTTTCTCACAGTTTTTTAAAAAAAGCAAAATCAGAGTTGTTTATATTTTTGTTTATTAAAACTGATCTACATATTATTATATAAATATAAATATATGTACATTATCACCAAAACCAGAAGGTTTACTTAAAAAAAAATTTTATTTAATTAATATATCTGATCTTGAGAAATTTAAAAAAAGCTTGACTGAATACTTTTTGAAGGGTAGTATATGTACTAAAAATCATTAAATAATCATAACTTACTGAATAAGTAGTTTTGAAATCTATAAAGAAAGAATTTTAGCAATTATGATAATAACATAAATATTACACAGATAAGATTAAAATACATTATTAATATACTGATACTAGCAATAATGCGATAGTCAAAATTTTTATTGCTGTTTTCGCTTATCATATATTATGATCATCTTGTAAAAATTTTAGGAAATAACGTGAAATTTTATTAAAAGTTAGCCAAGTCATATGATGTATTACTGTTTAAAATCTTTTTTTTTTAATATAACATATTAAACGAATTTGAAAATCTTTTTAAATAATAAAGTTTTTTTTTCTTAAGATAACAATCAAACTTTAATAATTTTCAAGTTCTGCAAGAGAATTCATAATATAATATTAAGATGGAACTAAATGCATCGCTAATGAGAAAAATATGTATGCGATTATTTGTAATAATTAATAAATGTATCATTGTCCTTTTCAACAAATTTCTTTATTATTTTTTCAAAGTTCTTATCATATATCAAAATAGCACGTATCTTGACAATTTCTGAATAAAATAATATGTCATTATATTCTTTTTTTTCTTTTTTTTCACAAGATGCTTTTAATATTTTTCTTAGTGAAATTTAAATTTTAAGTTAACATTAATTACCGTATAGTCCTAAAAATAAGCACCCTTTTTTGCTATGGGGGTGCTTATTTTCGGGTAATTTAAAAATTATAAAATTTGGCTTCTTTAG